TCCCGCTGACTTCCCCGGGACCTCCTGTAGTCTCGGCTTAAAAAGAGCAGCAAGCCTGTCACAAAGTTCTCTCCTTCAAGCGGGAAGCTGGAGAGTGAGGGAAGGCTCCTGGTTTGCCACCTGCCCAGGTGGAGCACCAGGACAGGGGAAGAAGAGGCCGTCTGCAGGAGCCAAGAGGCTGGACAGAGCCTGGGACCTCGCTCCTCTTGCTGCACTCCCCTTCTACAGACTCAAGAAGTGCAGGCAGCACCAGCACTCTTGTACTTTATATCCAAGAATGGTGCGAACTGAGATGTGCCCAGAGACAGGAACGGCAAGCCGGATCTTCGCAGCCAGGCTGTGAAAGTTGACGATGAATGAGCCAAGGCGTCTGAGAGCATGGGAGCCCAGATGGCAGGAGGTTCTGTGTTTTTCCTGGATTAAAGGAGGCACTGTGCATCGGGACGCCCTGCAGGGCGTCTCCTTGACATTACTCCCATGCATGTTTCCCTTGCTAACTCCCGTGTGTGTTCCCTACAGGGTGTCTTAAGTTTGCAAAAACATTATCTGAAGGTCCATTCTACCTCTGGTGATTCAGGATGACACTCGATACCCTACACAAAGTGCAACTCTTAAGGAGCAGACACGTCTGCAAGTAGGCAGAGGCAGAAGGGGCATCTCACCAGATGCAACGTTTGCAGGTTTCAGGGATGGTATTACCAGGGCTCCACCTGCTCGCCCAAGCTCCACAGAACCTGCCCTTCATTTCCTTTAGGGGGACACTACCTGCCACCCTTTCCTCCCCCTTCTCCCCTCACCAACATCTGCTTTCCTAAAATGGCTTCATTTCTCCTACTTCCTTTTTCACTCTTGCCAGTAAGTCAAGTGATAGCCAGGAAAGAAGCAAGTCATGAATCCCACACAGCTCATGCGGCTCAAATGAATAACACAACATTCCAGGAAGCAAAATATTTGAAATCCCAAAGTTTCAAGTGACTGTACATAAATTATTTGACTTCCCTAAAACTTATATAATAAGTATTATCATTACCAACAGCTAAGAGAAAGTCATTTTTCTGTTTATTATGGAAAACTATTGGCTGGGCTTGGTGGCTCATGCCTGTAATCCCAGCACTTTGGGAGGCTGAGGTGGCCAGATCATCTGAGGTCGGGAGTTTGAGACCAGCCTGACCAACATGGAGAAATCCCGTCTCTACCAAAAATAAAAAATTAGCCAGACGCGGTGGCACATGACTGTAATGCCAGCTACTCGGGAGGCTGAGGCAAGAGAATCGCTTGAACCCGGGAGGCAGAGGTTGCAGTGAGCCAAGATCGCACCATTGCACTCCAGCCTGGGCAACAAGAACAAAAAGAAAGAAAACTATTATTCATGTTTTTTATGCAGGAAGAAAGTAAGGCTCAGGGCCTATCTAAGTCCACGTAGGCTGCTATAACAAAATACCGGGAAGGTTATAAACAATAGAAATGTATTTCTCATGGTTCTAGAGCTGGGAATTCTAGAATCAAGATCAAGGCACCAGCAGATTCAGTGTCTGGTGTGGGCCCTTTTCAGGGTTCATAAAGGGTGCCTTCTTACCATGTATGCACATGGCAGAAGGGGTAAGGGATCTCTCTGGGGTCCCTTTCATAAAGGCACTACAGGTATTGATTGACTTACGACCTATGAAACTTACAACCATTCGACTTTACGACCACAATCGCTAGCCACGACTGCGCCGCGTCTGGCAGCGCAAACATTGCCCAGCTGGGCGTACGACAGTGCGGACCAGCTTCCGGCAGCACTACCATCTCCACGTGCATATAGCCTACTCAACTTACGACCAAATCGTGTTACGACCGATCTGTCAGAACCAATCGTGGTCGTAAGTCGAGCACTGGCTGTAATCCTGTTTATGGGTATCCACCTCATTACCTGATCACCTCTCCAAGGGCTCCTACTTCCAACTACCATCACCTTGGGGGTCAGGTTTCAACACGGGAATTTGGGGGAGACACAAACATCGAGACCATAGCAAGGGGGACTAGAAAGGCTTCGGGAGAGCAAAAGCCCCACTGGGATCCAAGCCCAGGTCTCTGCCTCCATCTACCCACTGAGCTTCATGGCCTGGCCTGAGAGGACACACTGTCTATGGGCTCAGGAACAGAGTAACAGCACTCTTTTGGGGTTTCTCAAAATGTTCCAACGATGGCTCTGCCTCCCTGCCTGAGCCCCCAGCTGCTGTCTCAGTCCCCATTTCTGCAGGATGGTTCCTCCACATCTTCAGTGCCACAGAAGGAGCTCCGAGGTCCTGGACCAGAGGAGCCTGTGACCATTTCACTGACAGCAGCAGTTCAACGGCTGTGGCCTTTAGCACCATCACACACCAGCCACATGCTCCAGGGCACGGACAGAGCTTGTGGACACGGGAACAAGTGCTCCCACACAGAGGGGAGCACCGTCGGGGGTTTAACACAGCACACGCTACCACCCAGTCTCAGGTCTGGCATGAGACCCAACCCTATGTGCTGAACCAAGGCTTCGAACTCTCCTGAGCAATCTGAGCACAGTGTCTAAGGAGCCCATTGGGCGATATATATAAACAAAGTAATCAAAGACTCAAAACCCGAATGCAATCATGTGGGAGAAGCCACAGCCACATTCAGTTCCTGGAAGATCGAGCCGCTCCCCTGGCTGCGTACCCTGCAGGAGCCGCCGAGGAGCTGTGGCCCTCATATCCCCAACAACGCCGGCATTATTTTTGGAATGAGAAGGTGCTTTGTTATTGCCAGGGACTTTCTCTTCTGAGGTTCAAAGCTGAATAATAAAAAAAAAAAAAAAAAAAAAAAAAGAACACGGATATATTTCTCCACACAGTGATCTGATAGGAATGAGCTTATCCATCCCTCAGCAAACTGCCAATTGCTGCCGTTAGAAATTCCATATTCAGTGATACGTAAGGCTTTTGGAATACACTTCAAACCAAAGAATCCAATCCCTTAGGCAGCCGACAGGCCCCATTTAAGACATGGAAGGAACAACAGCAGACTCATCTCTGCAGCTACAGCTCAAAAGTGGCTGGGCCCACAACACAGTCAAGACAAGCACCCCACCTCCTCCTCCTACCCCGGAGCCCACACAAGGTGCAAGCCATGCAGACAACAGCCACCACACAACAGGGGTGAGGGACACATTCCAGTCCTCCTCGGGGAGGGGGAACCGCTCCAGGTCTAAAATACTCCCCCAGAGGGGCCATCTTCCCTGCTTACCACCGCGTTCAGGAGCACCGCTCCCACACCCCTAAAGGTGCTCAGCACCTCAGGAAAGGAGCCTATCTGTGCACAAAAAAACCTCAAATACACGGTCGGAAATCAGCTACGCCTAGGAGTGTGTGAACAAGAAACGCCTACCTCCTCTGGAAAAGGGGAAGCCTTCTCCAGAGCAGGACAGAAAGCAAGAGCAGAAACGCTCCACGCAGCCCCCAGGAGGCCGGAGAAGTGCACCCCGCGTGACATCTGGCAGAGGCAGCCAGCAAGAAGGTGTGGCCAGGTCACAGAGGCTGCTGGTCTGGAGTTGAGGAAGGGGGCAGCAGGGCCCTGTGCCAGCCTCTCTGCTCCTGCACGTGCTCAGCATTCTCCATAATGAAGACCTTACAAAGAAAAGTCTCTTGGGGAAAAAAGAAATAGAACTGTACTAGTCTAGTTCTTCAACTTTGCGTGTGCGTGTGTGTGTGTATGAGCATGTTTTTATGTGCACACATATGCATGTGCGTGTGTTTCTGTGTATGCATGTGTGCGTATTTATGCATGTGTGTGTTTGTATATCCCTGAGATGGGGAGGGTCAAGGAAACCAGCTCCCCTAGTCCTCACATGCAGTGAGCTCATGGTAACGTGAAGTCCACTTCCAGCACAGCGGAGCCCAAGGCAGGGCTGGAAATGATCAAAACACCAACCCATGAGGTCTGTAACAGTAGCAAAATCCCAAGACTCTAAAACTCCTCCTCCCAGGACCTACAGCCATGAGGACAACCTGTCAGAACACCTACAGAGCCCCTATAGGGGGCAAGGCCGAACAGCAGGCGGGGCAAAACACTGCAGCCCCAACTGCAGACCCAAATCACACCTGGGCGTTCCGTGGGTACAGCCACCATCCCCAGGAGATCTGAAGGTGCAGGCACCAAGACAAGGTAGAAAACCACGTGCTTCTTCCTTGGGGTGTCTGTCACTTCCCACACGGCGCTTCCAGGCCACCTCACTTCCCCATTCACTGAAACCATAAACCTAAGAGGACATAGTCAAGCCTCCTTCGGTCATGGAGGCCATCGGGCTATTTAACCTCTCCAGGGACTGACAAACTCAGCATCGGGGAAGCTGGAAGGGATAACATGGGGAGAGAAATGCCAGTTACAGGTGATGGGGGGATGAAGGATGTAAACCACCTTGCCAACTATGTACCTATGCGACAATCCTGCATGATCAGCACATGTATCCCAGAACCTAAAGTTCAATTAAAAAAAAAAAACTCAGCATCACTAAACCTTACTCCAGGGTTCCCGGTTTCCCTGCCACCTGAAAACCCCAATCCATCTACACACAAGCATTCTCAAAATGAGGCCGGAAAAGTCCCCAGGCCAGGGGAATGCCCTGGACCTCCCAGCTCCTGCCCTCTCTGCCCTGAGAGGCAGTATGACAAGCAGTGAGAAACCTCGGACCGGTGCCACTGAGAAAGAGCTATTGATGTAGCCAGGGGACAAATTATTGAATTCTTATCTGAAATCAAATTCTTAAGAATTATTTTCTATAATTGAAACCATGGATTTCAAAGCCCTTTGATTTATTCTGGAGATGAAAAGTATACACCATATCGAAAAGCAGCTACCAGCCCCGGCTTTCCTCAAGAGTTTTCTTTCCGTGGCCGCAGTCCAAAGCGGCACCCACCCCCTGCCCCGCCACAAACACATATCATTGAATGAAGGCCAACTCAGTTATAAAGAGTCCCACGGGAAGTTAACGGAATGCTTACCTTGGCTTCACATTTCTTGTGGCAGGAAAACTTGCAGGCTGGAAAAAAAAAGAGAGAGAGAGAGAATGTGTGTGGAGCAGTCTCTCTAGCAAGAATTCTTACATTTCCAAACCCTCTCAATCCTTCAGAGTCTCTGGCTCTCTCTGGCACGAGGGAGATTGTTACTTATGACGCACAGCAGTGTGGACAGAAGGCAGTGAGGACCTGGTGTGCAAGAGCCGAGTTACAACTGCTGTCTGTTAGCAACAGCTCGGACGGCTCAGGTGGGGATGTCTCAGGTGGGAATGTCTCGGTGGGAATGTCTCGGGAGCAGGGTCATGAGCAGATTGGTTTTTCAAGCAGTATATGCATCCAGCCAAACTGGATTCCTAAAGAATAGTGAGCTTCAGCAGCAGAAAGCATTCCTGTGTGCCCAGAAATTACAGCTGATCCCTAAAACAAGAAAAGACACTGGAAAATGCCCCTTAAGAATCAGAATTTAAAGTATCCATGAAAGACAGGATTGGAGCCTTTAAATTTGTGAGAAAGTCGTGCATCTGATTTCAGAACTGCTTCCACTTCCGGCCAACCTGAGAATTGACTGTCAGAATAAATTCATGTCTAAATTCCTACAGGAGAATCCTTCCACAGGGGCCATTGTGTGGATGGATGAGTCCTGTGTCCCTTCGGGGGCCCTAACAATGCCACGCAGAGCTGGAACCAATGGGGATTTCACAGGCCCTCTCGCCCAGAGGCTGCAGCTGTGATGAGGAAGCATAAACCTCCCCACCACCACCGGCATGCTGCAGGCGGGCCTTGGAGGACGGGGAGAAAGAAATGAAGCCACAGCACCGAACAGTCCCAGCACGGTCTCCTGTGCCAGCTCCAAGGAAAGGTCCAGTACATTCCCTCTCTTCCCCCATGTTTGCCAGCCCACAAGGACAACTGTGGGAGGAGGAAAGAGACCTGGATTGGGGTAACAGTGACTGGGGACGCCAATCCAGGCTCTGCCCCTCTAGCTGGGTCTCTTGTTTCCTCCCACAGAGCTATCATGGGTCAAAAGGAATCCTTCAAGTCACCCTGCTTTGAAACTAGAAAGCAATGTCCACATGCAGAAGTGTGTGGGACCAGAGACCAAGGCCTCAGAAGTCAGGGAGAGGGACCCCACATCCCGGCTCTGCGTGTCAAGGCCCTGTGAATTCAACCAACGTCTCACTCCCCATCCTGCACTCTGTTTTCTATGAACCTACCCAAGTCAAAAAGGTTTGTGTAGGGTTGAATGAGGATAAAACAGGTAAGGTCATTTGCCCACTTCCTGCCTGTTATTCGAACTCCAGTTACAGTTAGGTTGTTAATCTATGTATGATCTATTTTTTTGAATTGCTGAACTGTCTTTCTATTGCTCTGAGGTTTGTGAGATTATTCACAAAAACATGTATTTATCCTACACCTTCTAATGGGAAAAACACACAAAGGTGATCAATGATTTTCAAATCAAGAGAGACTTGCCATTGGGAAACAAGGGGCTTCCACACAGGATTAAAAGTCCAGACAGACACCATCCCCAGCAGAGGCCAGCAAGAGAGACTGAGATAGGAAAACGGCAGTGAGCAGGCCTTTGGCCTCTGGCTGGGAGAGAGTCAGGGGAAGAATTCTGCCCACACATGTCTAGCAGCATGTCACAGGACCATGCCTGTGTGCAGCCCCCTCCCACAGTGAATCAACTGGGCTATGTGACAGTACAACCTGGCAGAAGAGATGGTGTGTGATTTTTGTGGCCATAAGGCATTGTGCTTCTGCCCTGGTCTCCAGAATCACTTATTCTGAGGACAGCCAGACGCCATGTTGTGAGGACACTCAAGCAGCCCTGCGGAGAGGCCCCCGTGGAGAGGAACTGAGGCTTCCCACCAACGACCAGAAGTGTGCCACCTCAGAAGCTGGTCTCCAACCCCAGTCAAGCCTTCAGATGATGTAGCCTCTCCAGAGACCCTGAGCCAGAACTGCCCAGTCACCTATGTCCCAAATTCCTGATCCAGTGACACAGTGAGAGATAACAGATTCTTACTGTTACGCTAAGGCACTAACTTTGGGGGTCATTTGTCATGTAGCAGGAATACAACGTGCCAACTACACACAAAAAAGGGCCCTAGTCAGTGCAAGGGCAGCACTGGTATGATGTATCCATGGTAGGCGGCCTACTCGACCACCAGACAGCTATCGGCATTGTCGGGAAAAATCATTATATTCAATAACCACAGTGAAATCCTATCAACCGCCCATGAGCCAAGACTACAGTCCTGAGAGGCAGAGCCATTGTTTCTGGTATGTAGGCAAGTAACCCTCAGAGTTTTACAAATGTTTGCACTAGGACTTGACACTCAACTGCCAGCAGCATGGGTGATCCTCAGAGTAGCAAGTCCACTGTCAACCTGTCCGTGCTCCAGCTGTGGTCAGCACTGCACCAGGCAGTGTATGATATACTTCCCTGTATGTTACTGCGCTTGCTTCTCATAAGCACCTCTCAGGGAGAAACTTTAAGAGTGACTCAGACAAGCGGGCAGCCATGGTCTGTGAAGGCAGGACTCCAGCCCGTCTGTGCATCAAGTTCAGCGTTTTCAGCCAGTTGTACTCTCCTTGCCTTTCTGACATATTACCAAAAAAATGAATCAGACAGTGCCCAGGCCCAGCTTCCTATCCTGCCGCCCACAGAGGATGGCCCCCTGCCTGCCCTAACCCTGCCCATGCCAACCCCAGCTCCTCATTCATGCCATCCTGCACCCACCTCCTGGGCCCAGCTCAGCTGCCTCTGTGCCTGAATTCTCCACACTCTTCTGTGCCACTGATCCATCAGGATGGGTCATCACGGCGGGTCATCATAGCTTGTCATATCATGGTGATCTCCCTGTGTCCACCTCTCCTGATGGGCTGCAAGCTCATCAAGGGACGGCGTCTCTGTTGTGCATGACCGGGGTCTCACAATAGCAGCACTAACAGGAGTGACAAGCAGCTGACACACTCAACGCCTAAAAGCTTGAACTGCATGGGCATTACCAAATTTCCACCACACCCTAGAAAGAAGCTACCTGTCTTTGCCTGTTGTATCAATGTGAGGCTGGGGTTTATGGATGAGACTGAGGATTCATGTGCTGAGCAACTGTGTGCCAATCCTGACCTGTTCCAGGTCTGCTTTCAGAAGCCCATAGCCAGCAGGCCCACGCGCTGTGGAGACCTCATTACCTGATCGCCACTTAGGGACTCCGGGCTGTGAAAGTGCTGGTCACAAGGGAGACTCCAAAACAGCCGAGGAACTTCTCTCCAAATCTATCTCCAAAGCACACAGGCCCAAAAGACAAAATGTATGTATTCACTTTGACCCTCAGCCACACAGACTTGCGCCCTTTTTGGAATACCACTTGTGTGAGCTGGCAGCTAAAGCAGCCACCTTCTCAGGGAAGGTCATTTTTATTTGAAAGAACTCCTAGCAGACAAAATGTAGTTATTCAGACTCGAGTGCTTGTCATCTTCTCAAAAATTTAATGAGTCTGTAGTCATCAACCAATGTCAAAATTTGAGATTTCAAGTGAAAATCAGAATTTTAGAAGACATGTACCCAGGCCTGGTGTGGTGGCTCACACCTGTAATACCAACACTTTAGGAGGCTGAGGCAGGCAGATCACTTGAGCTCAGGAGTTTGAGACCAGCCTGGCTAACATGGTGAAATCCCGTCACTATTAAAAATTCAAAAAATTAGCTGGGCATAGTGGTGCATGTCTGCAATCCCAGCGACTCAGGACACTGAGGCACAAGAATTGCCTGAACCCAAGAGGCAGAGATTGCAGTAAGCCAGGATCACACCACTGCACTCCAGCCTGGGTGACAGAGTGAGATTCTGTCTCAAAAAAAAAAAAAGACTTGTACCCATCACCAGAGCCTAACAACCCCAGGACATTTCTGTTAAAATCAATGATCATATTAACAAATGTAGGGATTTTCCTGAGACTGTATAACAAGCATGCCAACATTTAGAAGTTCTGTGTCATTGTCAGTGGACCAATAATTTCCAAATGGCCAGTGTGTGGTGTTCCACACTGGGTAAAAGATGCACTCAGAGTGCAAGATAGGCCAATGGATTTTAATAAAACAGAGTAGGAAAAACTCTACCCATACAGTTTCAGATTCCACAGTGAAACTCAACTTTAAGCAACTGTCACTTGACTTTTAGTGTAGAATCAAAATGTAATATTCACGATGGCCTGAAAAGCCTATTAAAATGCTTCCTTTTCCAAGTAGGTATGTTTATGGGGCTAGATTGTCTTCAACACTTCAAACCAAGCATTATGCAGAAAGACTGCATGCAGGAGGAGTCCGCAGGAAGAGTCAGCCTCTTGATTAAGGTTGCATAACAGAATCACAAAAAGAATGCCCCTCCTCTCATTTTGTTGTTTTGATATATGTTCATTTTAACATATAATGGATTTATTACTGTTGCCTTTAGCTGGCTTAAATATTTTAAACATTCAACAATTTCCCTTTTCTAATGGGGTAAATCGTGATGAATATAAACCACACTGACAGGAGCCCTTTAGGGTCTTCCAGCAGCCCCGCAGTGGGTGCGAGGGTAACCCCGTTCATTCTCCTTGCCTGAGGCTCTCAGAAAGGGGTAAGGACCCAATTTTGACCAACAGAAAGGTAAGTGAACTCTCTCAGGGGCTTCTGGCGAAGGCCTCCCACTCCTGTGAATGAAGTAAGAGAAGGAAAATGCCTCTGCCTCTGGACCCTGCCCCTCTGAGCACAGAGCTGGACCCACAGGAAGAACCTGGAGAACTCGGGCTGCTGAACCAGGGCCCAGGCGCACCGCCCGGAGCCCGCCAGCCACTGTACCTGCCCCCAGCAGGAGAAGATCCATGCCCGGCTGGCTGGAAGAGACTCCATCTGCGCACCCCGTGACTGGCTGCCATGGTGCCTCCCACGCAGCTCCACATGCTTTACATGCCTTGTTCCACCCATTCCCACAGGGACCAGAGAAAAAGGCACATTCTTGTTCCGTTGTACGAACAGC